CCTTCATGACACTGCTCAGGAAGAGAAAGAGGAGAGTGAGACTGTTAACGCAAAGAGGTGACAGAGAGAGGGAGAGACAGGCAGCACACATACAGAGAGAAAAGAGAGAGAAAGGAGAGAGAGGGAAACTCTGCGCTGAGAATGACTGAGAGAAACACTACAGAAAGAGAGAGACCGTGAAAACGAGATGCGGATGAAGCATGAACCTCTCTCGGATGAGACAAAAGTCAACTGGTCGGCGCTATGAGCGGCCTTCTCAAACGAGTACTGGCTACACTGCAATTGAACAGGCTAGCGTGGGCTTTCAAATCGGGTTTTGTTTTAAATTATTTTCTCATTATTGGATAGTTTAGCTTCTAAAACAGGCTGTGTGAGAGCGGATGAGTGGGCAACAGTGGAAGCGTACTCTWMAGGTCCTTTCCAAACGGTCATTCGARCARCGCTCAAAGGTTGACATGATCTTTTCTGCATACTCACACACTTCGAACCCAAACGGTGAGGGCTTGCTCRCRGAAAGGCYAGTGAGTAGGCCGATGATTACTCATTTATGCAAACATTAATTATTATTGTTYARTAGACAAAAAAAAGACAACTGTATGTTTCCTGACAGCACTCCGAGGTGTGTGTGCTTGTACAAGTCATCATGAAAGAGGTCTGAATCGACGAGTGTTAACTCCCCAGTCCTCATATGAAAGGGCATTGTTTTCACTCGCTGTTGTGCACGCTGATCACAGTGAAAAGGGCCATGATTTCACTTCCCCTTGTTTTCGCTGATCACAGTAAGAGTTCTATTGGACCTTGTATTCATTTGCTGATGTATTTGCTGACCACGGTGGAAAGAGTTTTATTTTCACTTGTTGCTGCATTTGTTAGTCATAATGAATGAGGTCTTGTGGTGACGCATGATCAACGGGCGTTACGACCTCTTCTCACCCTGCTGATCGCTGAAGACCTCGGAAGCGGGCGCGGCGAGTGACAGGCGCCGTGGCCCTTGGCTACAACGAACAGCAGGAGCCTCTCCCCGGGTATCCTCACAACGTACCCATACGCGGAGTGGTAGCCCCGGGACCGACTCGTGGACTTGAAGATCCACCCATGGATGATGCATAAGGCGATGCTCTGCACTTTGATCCCCTTGTCTTTCGCTGCCTGCAGCTGCGAGTCGTCCTCGATTTTGTGTTGCGGGATGCTGGAGTGTGGGAGGGCTTAACTTCGACAGATGTCGGGAGGGGGGACTCCCCTAGCGATGGCCAGCAAATACAGTCGCGCTACCTAGATCAGCTTGAAGAGTCCATTGCCCTCTGTCTTGTTCCAAGACCTCATGTCGTCCACCCACAACCTGGTCGCAACTTCGATCCGACGATCCCCTCTCGTGCATTCCCACGCCGCTGCCTATTCCAAAGGCTCATCGTCGTCGCCATCCCCACCGCTCTCCCCAGGTGCTGCAGTCACCACCACTCTCAAAGATCCCGCCACTGCACCGCCGTGCGTGTCCACCATGTCTTGTCGTTGTGTCCCCTTGACGCTCCCTTGTACTGCTGCATTCGCAGCCCCTCCCCCCTCTGGAGGTGTTTGCCCACGTGGTGTGCCTGGGGTTGATGGCACCCGTCCCGACTGCTGCCCCTCAGGCGACGCAGTTAAACGTGTCCTCGCACTGCTCCCCCGGGGGGCCCCCATGCGCGCCGTCTGCGGAGTTCCCTTGCCTTGCACCTCCCTCGGCGCACCAACGGTGTCCACATCTATGACTCCATCACCCCTACGAAGGTCCCCCCCCCTTGTGGGGTTGAGGAACAGTTTGCGGGCGGGGCTCATTAATTCGCACCCCCCCTTGTGCTCGCACCGACGCTTGTCTGACAGCGTCCATGTCATTGTCATCCACGAAGTCATCGTCATCGTCGGCGACATGAGAATCCCTCACCCATTCTTCCTCCCTCACGCTGCCTTCCGTTGAAGGGCCCTCTTTAACAACCTTCCTCTTCTTGGCGGCATGTCGTCCTTTCTTATGCGTCATAGGCGTGTCCCCTTCATAGATGTCCCTCTTCCTGCCACGATCACCGCCGCGTAACGACGACGTCAACTACGGAATGGCCTGTCCTGCCTTGCTAACGTGTCCGGGATTGTAATCGTGCAGAAAAGGCCCCGATCACGCAGTCGGTCAGCCATGATCACTAAACCGCGAGCGCGCCGAGAGCAGTGTTGCTGACGTGGCGATCTGCGTGGAATATCGGTGTTGGATTATCAACGCGAACGTAGACAGCTGCCTCCGACAATGCGCGCACTTCAGAGCTGGCGCCGGAAAAGACGGCGAAGAACGTGAGTGCGACGGATGGTAGACGATTTGTGCAGCTCTGACGACGAAGGCGGCGATCAAGCGACACGAAAGAATGAAAGGCGGAAGGCGATCCACGATACTTGTTCGTGCAGACGACAAAAAAAAAGCTTGAGGGCAATGGAGCGAAAATCGTCGTGGTGTGCTAGATTTGCGGTTGGCGGTTGACAAGCGGCCGGCAGGCAACGCGACGCTTGCATGCAGACGGAAGGCGAAGCACGAGATGCCAATCTTGCGCGGCACCAACCTCGAGGATGGCAGGCGAGTAAGCGAGGTCGACCTTGATGTGGCGAGACGACCATGTGTACACGATGGCAGATGAGGGGGAGGTCTATGGCCGCTCATGTGGACGATCTTGGTGAGGTGTTGTATATATGTGCGATTAGGGGTGGCGGGCGAGAAGGACACCTGTACTCTGCCCCTACATTTCGTTCAGCAGACAACGACGACTGACAGTGATACATCTGCCACCAATGTTATCCAGTAGGCCCTCACCGTCTACCTCTGCGTATGCACCGATCCGCAGACCCCGATTGTCGCCTGATCTGCCGTCGTCCACTTTCGAAGCCGTTTGTCATTGTGGAAGGCTAACGGACCCCGCAAGGTGGCATGCACAAGTGGCACTGAACCTCAGCGCCCCCGTATGCATGCTCTGCCTTCAATGCCATAGACGACCTCATCATACCCGACTATGCCTAGGCCTTCATTGAATTGCTTGTTGTCGAACACAAATCCCGAACATGCAAAAAGAGAGAGAGAGAGAGAGAGAGAGAGAGAGAGAGAGAGAGAGAGAGAGAGAGAGAGAGAGAGAGAGAGAGAGAGAGAGAGAGAGAGA